CACCAACACACACATCTTCACAGATACACACAGACAAATTTTTAATTGTTAACAAATATTTTATTTGTTTAATAACGCGTTCGGCTCAGGAATCGTGTGAATGAGACAATAAATAGAATTGCGAAATGCGTAACGCCACTGAGTGATATGACGTCGTATGTGTGTGTTTGTGTTTGCGTGTGTGCGTGTGTGTGTGTGTGTGCGTGTGTGCGTGCTGCTAAAAAATATGTTATATCTGTGTACAAACAATATTATGCAACCATAAAACTTTTAAAAAAATGAATGAATGAATGAAAGAATAGATGGATGAACTAATAAATGGATGAATGATGAATGTGTGAATGAATCCAATTCATTTGTAAAAACTATTTTTTGTACGGTTTCATGATTATTCGTTGATATATATATATATGTGTGTAGTGTGTGTGTGTGTGTGTGTGTGTGTGTGTGTGTGTGAAAATGCTTAATGCTCGTACGTTTGTACGTGTCGGTGCGTGTGTGTGTTTGGTTGTTTTTGTGTACGTTTGTACGTTTGGCTGTCTGTGTACGTGGCGTGTGTGTGTGTATGTGTTTGTTTGGTTGTTTGTGCATGTGTGTGTGCGTGAGTGTGTGTATGCGTGTGTGATTATGACAGCGCTATATTCTGTTTATTCCCACGTAGCAAACATCTTGCGTGATAAGCGGAACATTTCAGCGTGTTAGTGTTGTTGATGTTGTTGTTTTTGATGATGTTGCTGTTGTCGTTGTCGTGATTTTAACGTGTGTAAGCTTGTTTTTAATTTTGAGAAGCAAATAAAATTCCGTTTCGTTTCGTTTGTAATGTATGTGTAGTTGTTTTTGTTGTTCTGTTTGCTGTTGATGTGATTTTAAAGTGTGTAAGCTCGTTTGTTTTGTAATGTATGTATATATTTTGTTGTAGTTTTGTTGTAGTGTTGTCTTCGTCGTCTTCGTCGTTGTTGTTGTTCTTGTCGTTGTTATGTGATTTATTTTGTTGTCTTGTCATCACTGCTAACTGATTTTACAACTTCGGAATCATGATTCCACTGTTGTTGTTGTTGTTGCACTTGTACTATTATTTTTGCACTTGTTGTGATTCTGGCATTTGTAGACGCCAATATTTTACGATATTTCATAAGTTTTTTTCCGAATTTCAATGAACCATCTTGCGTTAAATCGTGAAGCCATTTTTTCTTAATGATAAATCAGTTTCTTTTTCTTCATGTTTATTTCACTTTGTCATCGCTAAACTGGACATCAATTTTGAATATTAGTAGTAGTAGTAGTAGTAGTAGCAGTAGAAGTGGTAGTTGTTGTAGTAGTAGTAGTAGTGGTAGTAGTAGTAGTAGTGGTAGTAGTAGTAGTAGTAGTAGTGGTAGTAGTAGTGGTTGTTGTAGTGGTAGTAGTAGTGGTTGTAGTAGTAGTAGTAGTAGTAGTAGTAGTAGTAGTAGTAGTAGTAGTAGTAGTAGTAGTAGTAGTAGTAGTAGTAGTAGTGGCAGCAGCAGCAGTTGTTGTTGTTTGCTGAAATTAAATTTTAGATCTCTATTCAGGTCTTAATCCTCGTAATCCTTCGTACACTTTCATAAGAACGTAAAGACATGTGCACGGACTTGCACGCACACACGCACACAGACACACATACACACGCACACAGACACACATACACACGCACACACATACACACACACACACACACACAATTGTACCTACATTCACACACACACATACACACATCCACACTTTAGTACTTACATAAAGACACGGACACATACTTATATACACACATACATACACACACACGCACGCACGCAAACACACAAATGCATGTTAATTCTTGCTCCATGTGAACACCAACGTAATTTTGAATAGAAAGAAGATCACACAGTTATTCAAGTTTGTTCTTGATGAAAGGTATTTTTTAATTTTTTTTTATTCATTTCCATTTTTTTTTTGCCCAAGTGTTAAGAATTATGGCGACGAAGTCTAAATTTAACACAAAGTACGAAATTACTATATAAAAGATAAAATTTATATATAAAAGAACTTTGAAACAAATTTTCCGAAATAATTTGTGACAGTAAAAATTAGTGGATAAGCCGAGGTATGTGTGGGGATTTGAAGCCGAACCTCTCCCCACTGCAACAATTATCTGCGTTTATACATTAGTGTGTTTGCCTCTAAAATAAAGCTCAACATTGGTGTATATGTATGTGCGTGTGTGTGTGTGTGTGTGATTGTATGTTTACGTGCTTGTGTGTGTGTGTGTGTGTGTGTGTGTGTGTGTGTGTGTGTGTACTCGCGTCTGTATACATTCGTGGCTTAAACATAGGTACTAAAACACAAACGATATGTAGATGTGTATTTTGTGTACGTGTGTGTGTTTGTGTACGTGAGTATGTATGTGTACACATACATATAAGCATAGATACAAAAACACAAACAAAACATAGATACTAGAACCTAAACGAAACAAAGATACAAAAACAAAAACGAAGCATAGATATTTAAATCTAGACACTTTCACATGGACCACATGCCGAGTAGGTGACATGAGCAAAGACAAATAAACACGGGCATGGATATTTAATTCCTTGTTTTATGTTTGTAAATTTAGTAGAATATTATTATCATTAATGTTGTCGTTGTTGGTTCTTTGTGTTGTTGTTGTTGTTGGTTCGTTGTGTTGTTGGTTCTTTGTTGTCGTTGTTGTTGTTGTTGGTCCTTTGTGCTGTGGTTGTTGTTTTTGTTGTTGTTGTTGGTTCTTTGTGTTGCTGATGTTTTAGTTGATGTAGTAGTTGTTGTTATTAATGTTGTCAAATTTTCCATAAAATAATCACACACACCTTGATAAAGCAGATTTCCTCATTACATTAAATTTCACGCCATAATTCTTGTAATTTCCGTGACATCGTCACCAGTCAAGTCTGTGTCATTATTGAAGTTATTGATGTCAGCAGCTAAATTCTCGTTAATGTGATCGTCTTGTTGAATGTTCAAGTCATCGTATGACTAATATGGATGTTATATTATTATTGTTATAGTGTTTTATCAATTTGTATTGTTGTTAATCATCATTGTTAATGTGCGTGTGCGCGTGTGCGTGTGTGTGTGTGTACGTGTGTGTGTGTCAAAGTCATTGTTGCTGTTTTTATGTTTGTACCACACCGAGTTCACCACGAGATGGTGGAGACATTGTTAGAAGTTGAATTTTATTTGCGGGTTTGTATCCGTGTGTGTGTGTGTATGTGCGTGTGTGTGAGTGTGTGTGTGTATTATGGTGTGTACGTGTGTATTTCCAGGTTTGCACACGTTTATGTAAACATTTATACTTGATCTGTGTTTTTTTTTCTATAATTTAATTTTACTTCGAAGATCAATAACGTGTGAGACAGACTTGACATCTGAGTGTGATTGTGTGTGTGTTTGTGTGTGCGTGTGTGTGTGTGCGTGTGTGTGTGTGTGTGTGTGTATAGACGTGAATGTATCCAGCCACCAATCACGCAATATATTTGCAAACAACCTTTCATAGAACGTCAGTGCACTGTGCAATCGCATGACCTTTTCGTGACCTCTTTTAATAATAAGCACGTACACACACACACACACACGCACGCACACACACGTACACACACATGCATGCACATGCATTTTTACAAGACGTTGTTTTGTGTAATTTTGTATGCCCTTGTGTGTGTTTGTGTGGGGTGTTATAAATTTTATATATGTGTGTGTGTGTGTTTATGTGCGTGTATGTGTGTGTCAATATATGTGTGCTTCTATTTTGGAATGATTGTCTTGTATTTTGATGGTTAAAACTGTTAATCAGTATTCGTAATATTAACATTAACATTGATGATTATCGAGGAAGAATTAACAATGATGAATTCTTTTTAATTATTTTCACATTACAATCTGTTTAACATGTTAATTGAAAAATAGATTTCACGCACATACATACATACATACATACATACATACATACATACATACATACATACATACATACATACATACATACATACATACATACATACATACATATGCGTGTTTACATTGTATTGAAAGGTCCTTGACATTCATTAAATGCGTGTGTCATCTTCATCTTATTAAGGTACCTCAGGGCTTCTCATTCGGATTAATTAGATTTCACGTACTTGCGTATTCGTGTGTGTGTGCGTGTGCGTGCATTAGCGTGTGTATAGGGATTGAAATAAAGTTCACTGAATTAATGTATTTTGTAATAGGGTTGTACCGGAATTCGGCTCCGTCTATAATCCGACCATTTTTCCAAATCCGTTCCCGACAAAAACTTGGACCATAGTTGAATTCGCGACTGATAGTGGAACAATTTGAAAACAAAAGTTTTCAAATTGTTCCACTAAGTTTTGGACTATAAACTCTTTGTATGTATCCCTATTTTTTTTATGTTTGTTTGTATACACGCGTTTGTATCTACGCGTTTGTATCTACGCGTTTGTATCTACGTGCTTTTAATATACATTTATCATTAAACGTTTTGCATAACTCAAAATAATGGAAATTGAGAAGATTTAAGATTGTGTCGCTTGAACCATCTGGTTGATATGATGATCTCGAATATATAAATATATCAAAACTGCCTGTCATTTATTATCAGATAATGACACCAAGCATTCTGGCTGATAAGTTTGTATTTCAAGTTATGTTAACATGTAGAATCGCAGATGTTTTTTGTTATTTGAAATGTACGTTTTATGTATAATTGTTTCAATTTGTACGATTTTTGTATGTACCAGCATCAGCAGAAATCCATTAAGAGGTTAGAAATCCATCAATTCGACTTGAATTGGATACAAATTAGAATGTGATACAGTGTTCTATATATATGTTAGCTTAGTCGGCAGAAGCGCCTGTCTCGCGCTGGTATTACCCGATGGTCAGATTCGAATGCTGTCAGACCGAAACTAAAGATAACAGAAATAATTAAGAAACACAAACACTTTGTATATTGTATTGTTGTTTTGTATAACTTTATTATCTATAATATATATTATTTATATTATTTACATTATTTTGTGTGTGTGTGTTGTGTGTGTGTGGTGTGTGTGTGTGAGCGTGAGAAAGTAACATTTTTTGCTTTCATTTTTGTTTGTTGTTATTAATGTTGGCATGGTTGCTGTTGTATTTTGTTGCCCAGAGCTGTGAACATTTCATCTGGAGCGCTGACTACTCTAATGGAAAGAAAACAAAACACCATCTCATTACACGCGCACGCACACACACACACATACGCACACATCTATACACACTTATACACATCCAGGCACACATACTCACTCACATACTCATCCCTACACTCAAATTCACACTAATACATGGTATGGTTAATTTTGTATTTGTTTGTATGCTGCGTATGTATGTATGTATGTATTTATATGTATGTCTGTATGGGTGAATATTATCACATGTGTGTGTATTTGTGTGTTGTTTTGCCTGATCGTTTGGTTGTTTGTACGAACTAGTGTCTGCTTAATTATATGTGTAGGTTTGCTTGTAAAGTTAAGTGTATATATGTGTGTGTGTGTGTGTGTAAATGTGAGCGTGTGTTTGTGTGTGTGTTTATGTGTCTGTGTATGTCTGTGTGTGCACGTGTGTATTGTTTTGCAAAGCACCGTTTCTAATGATGTCCCAGGAGATTCGACCGAACTAAAATATTGATAACAAATGTGCTGAATATCTAGAATGATTCTGTGTGAATGAGTGGAAGGAAGTGAAGGAAGAAAGAACGAAAGATTGAAAGAAAGAAAGAATTAATGGATGAATGAATGAGTGAATGAATGAATGGATGGACGGATGGATTGACGGATGGATGAATGAATGAATGAATGAATGAATGAATGAATGAATGAATGAATGAATGAATGAACGAATGAACGAACGAACGAATGAATGAATGAATGAATGAACGAACGCACGAACTAACGAATAAATGATAAAATACAAAAATGACAAATAACTGCTTAGTAAATGAATTAAGAATTTTTTGAAACAATTTAAAAAGGGGCGAACTTTTAAGCTCCAATTATCTTGACTTTGCACAAATATATACAACATACAACACACACACACACACACACACACACACACACACACACACACACACACACACACACACACACACACACACACACACACACACAGACATACCAAAATACACACTTAGGCATACACAACTATGCAGAGACATACAATACACACCCATGCATATTAAATACACACACACACACACAAACACACATAGGCGGTATACAGGCACGTAAAAATAGGCTGCAAATGTCACGGAACCTCAGGGTCGTGCAGCGTCAGGACGTGCTGGAACCAGCTTCCTTCATTCAGACAGACTGGAGATAGATTGAGAGACAGGTTTTTGGAGATTTTGTTTTTCGGAGTGGTTGTGTCGTTGTACGCAGTTGGGATTGTAACAGTACGTGATGCATCTGTGGAAGGCTTGACATCAATTTTTTTTTGTTTTAAATCTGTGGTAAACTCTTTATGAACAAATACTTCGAACCATCAAATAAAAAAATCATTAATTTTTATAAATTTTTCTTTCTCTTTCAGATACGACGCTGCTGCCCAAGTGACCTTTAACCCGCAGGGAACGAGACTCATCCCAATCAATCGCAAGTTCAACCGACCAACGAAAGACGATTTGATCTTCACGGAACCTTCGCCGAACTTCTGCAATCCCGATCCGGAACGAGGATCCCTGGGGACTTCCGGGCGCGTCTGCGATAGACGATCGCAAGGGACGAGTGGATGTGGTTTGATGTGTTGCGACCGGGGTTACAGAAGTTCAAAGGTTAAGTACGTTGAAAGATGCAAGTGCAAGTTCCACTGGTGTTGTAATGTCTCGTGCCAGACTTGTGAGAGGAGCATGCACGTGCATACATGCAACTGAAGCTGGGATGGGTTTGGACTGTCTAGGAGTTGTGGGATTCAAGTTTTATGTTGTGTTTTGTGAGGTGATGTGAAATTCAGAAATCGTAACAAATTATTTCATAAAATGTTAACTTCTGTATCTTCTTTTAACGTCTGTCGGCAGTTGTATATGTATTATCGAGCGTGATGGTTTTGTGACGATGATGGATATATGAATATCTATGAATATCTGTGAGGTATCTATGAGTATCTGTGAGATATCTATGAGTATCTGTAAGTATCTATGAGTATCTGTAAGTATCTGTAAGTATCTGTGAATAACTATGGAATATCTTTAAATAAACACGTTCAACTTGCCTTTTATTTTTTATTTATCTGCTCTGGTTTATTTTTTTCTAGTGAGATTTAAATGGTTATAAACCTTCTTAAATTATAAAATTGAGTTGATATTCACCGATTTAGATGATGAGTTTTCTATTGTTATGATTTGTAAACTTAAAATATGTACAAACCATAAAAAGTTTGCCACAAGAAGCTAACACATTTTTTGACTTAGTTGATTGAATGGTGAAATATTTGCTTGATTGAATGTCGGAATGAATGAACATTTCATTTTTCTACATACAGACGTGTTATTTTTTGGTATTTGTTTGTTAATTTTTTTTTTGTCTATAGTAAATCAGTTGTACAAATTTTTTTCGGCGTTCGTATCATGATCTCAATTAAGTCTTAACGAGTGTTGAATTTAATTAATTTAAATTTTTAAATTCTGTTAAACCATTTTAATGTAATTTATTTTTGACCAATTTTTACTAACAACGAAACAAATACAAAGCCATTTTCAGTTTTCATTCTTTAGTTGTATGTTTGCTGTTTAATTTTAGCTTTTTTCTAGTTATTCAAATGATTTAAATAAGAAACTTATATGTCAAAGTGATTCAGTGAGGACAAAACTAAAAATTTTTAAATGTTTCAGAAAAAAAACTTCTACGAACTAGCACCAAATTTATTTTGTATAATTTTTAAAAAGTTATTCTCCATACCTCTAAATGGTCAATTCATGCATGCTTTTTTTTAAACTTTTAAACGTTAAATAACTTTAGGAAGACAATATGGATTGTGATCTTCAGCTTTCGTTTGTGTCTTGCATGTAGGATCAGATGATGGCAGCTCAAAACATATCACGACTGACTGACTATCAATTATTTTACAGCGCTTCAGAGAGAAAATCGAAATTGTTTTTATTTTTGAAAATATCAGAATTTGTCAGTCGCAGAACCTTTCAGATGTGAAATAATAATAGAAAAGAAATAAATGAAACTATTAAAAAATTTGAAAAATATGGCATTAACAAGATCAAACAGCAAAAAAAGTTCATAACTTTTGTAATATTTTTCATAGAAATGCATTCAAATAATAAACTGTTTTTTTGTTATATTAGAACAATTTCATTTAATATTTTTAGCATTTTTAATTGATTTATTCCGGAGTATCAGAGTTGGAAATATTTTTTACCAGATTTTGACTCTTTGGGTTATTTATTATTCGTTCAACTGTAGCCTAGATTTCAATGTATTTTCAAATGAGAAAATTTCAGTTGCGTATGTACGATAACTTTAATTTTGTTTGTCTCACTGTTCACCTTATTCTTAAGCAGTTGAGATCAGTAGAAATAGAAAAATAACCAATGACTTTTATTCAAACAATTTGATGTATGCTGATGTTTATCTACTTTATATATTTTTTGCAGATGTTTATCAGCAGCTACGTTAGTTACATCCAGTTTTGTCTATTAAAATAAATCGTTCAATTTTTATAGTAATTTGTGTTATTAATTAAAATGAAAGATTTAACAGTTTTTTGGTCCATCTAACTAACGATAAATATGAATTTTATTAAATACGCTTCTGGAAGGCTGGCGGTTTAACAAAAGATAATCTGGTTGGCTACCATTTTAAATCAATCAATCAATTAATTTATCAAGCGCTTTTTCCGCGATGTTTAACAGCGCTCTACAATGAATGAATGAATGAATGAATGAATGAATGAATGAATGAATGAATGAATGAATGAATGAATGAATGAATGAATGAATGAATGAATGAATGAATGAATGAATGAATGAATGAATGAATGAATGAATGAATGAAAGAATGAATGAATGAATGAATGAATGAATGAATGAATGAATGAATGAATGAATGAATGAATGAATGAATGAATGAATGAATGAATGAATGAATGAATGAATGAATGAATGAATGAATGAATGAATGAATGTATGAATGAATGAATGAATGAATGAATGAATGAATGAATGAATGAATGAATGAATGAAAAAAATGAAAAAACGAAACTAAACCCTATTTCAAAAATCGTCGTTACTGTACTCCATTGCACCAACCACCATCATCTGGTCGGCACACAAGATGTCATCCGAACTTCAGAGTGTCAGTCGAACAGCCAA